CATTCTTTGCCATGGACTGTAGTTGGGATCGCTACTCCCCCAAAATGCTTAACTTAATCTTCTTCCTTTTCTTCTTCCTTGTTTAGCAGTCCGCCCGGGTAGCTTTCAGCAACCATAGAAATGTTATGAGGTTGAGTTGAAGTGGAGTGTTCTTGAGAGTATTTCAAAAGCGCAGTTCAGTCTGATCGTATGGGCGGACCTAGGCTCAATTTTGCGTCTTCTTCATTGGTGTGTTCCTGCCTTCTAAACTGCACTGGAAGGGGCACAGATGAAGAATGCACAATGCAGGCCTGGTTTTGCTGCAATGACTCCGCCCGCACGATCAGCGTGATTCGCTCTTCCAACTATGACTACTGGTTAGAAATCTTGGCGCTAACAGCCTTACGAATAAAGGGCATTTGAAGAACATCCTTGAATTACTGTAATGAAGATCGCGACGTTTACCCTCTGCTTATTTTTCAAATAGCCCCCGAGTAATAATTTTTTTGAGAAATAAAGTGTCAAAGCAGACTAATAATGTGTGAATAGAGATCAAGATTCTAGGATTGCGGGTTCTCTTTAGGTAATTATATCCTGCCTTATGTCGACTGAAGTTGCACTAAAATGAGGCTTTTATTAGTCCTGGGTTTTGCTACAGGGCGTACCATCGTTGTGTAAACACAGGGGCGTGTCTATTTCGCCGTAAAACAATACTTTTTGTCGATTTTTTCCCGTTTCAGTTTCACTATATGTCCTCAAAGGCAGCGTTGTGAACAAAAACTACCATTTCTGAGTGTTAGGTATCCTCCCTGGCTCGACTGCAAAATTTGAGAAAAGGCGGATGGGTAAATGGGTAGTGAGGGAGGGGTAATCATTGTGGTGGGGGAAACGTTCAGCAAATATTTTTCATGGCGCGAGATGTGCAGTTTCCATTAATTTGCCGAAATCTTGACCTTTTCAGCTGAAACACGGCGTTGACGGCGTAGAAATCGCTGGCGCCGATGGCTACTACAAGGTGATCATCAACAGTTGTACGATGGACGCTCACGACGGCGAAATTATCTGCCGGGCCGTGAACGAACATGGTGCAGCGGAGAGTCGAGCACGTCTGACCGTCGAGCCAATGGAGGAAGAATCACGAAGTGCTCCCACGTTCATCAAGGACATTGAGGACCAGGTAAACAGCGAGTCTTTCTATTGGTTTTCCTCTAGGGTGAAAGTAGTGAAGTGCGGGATCACAGAGGTTTCTAGAGGTTTCTAGAAACTCAGGAACCTACTGCTAACGGCATCTGCAAGCTTATTTCTAAGCGATTTGCCCTGCCAG